GGGGGTGTATGCATGCGAAGAATAAAGAGACCCCAACCCACATTATCCCATAAATCTCATCTAGCATGTAGAACGGACCCTAGCCTTTGTGACCGACTTGGTAGAAACACACAAGCAATCTTTTCATGAACAAAGACAATGGCCACTAACTCCAGCCTGTGTCAGCAGTCATAAAGCAGTGCCACGTCTTAATGGAGGCCCTTATTCCTTTCTCCATAAGGCATTAACACAGTGGTCAAGACCAGCTGCCATTGGCCGTATCCTGCGCACACAGCCATTCTTTCAGGTCTTTCTGATGGAGCCAGCACACTGTTCAGAATCAGGCAGAAGTGTCTCTGACTGATGAATTATAGTGTTGCTGATACAATAGACGGGAGTTTGGCGTTCTTAGGAATAGCAGAGTCTAATTTGCGGGTATTAACTTTCTCTCCATCTGTAATCCAGTAATAGCAGCTCAGGGTTATTTCTGGGTTTATGAGTTGAACTGAAACTCCAGAAGCAAATATCTTCCACACTTTTCATCACTTTTGCAAAATGAATTGGTAGGCCAGTTTTAGTGGATTGACTGTGTAAAGTCATTTCTCACAGTCTGTATGTGTAGTCTTGCACCAGTGTAGTTTATCACATTTAATATGAACAAGTTCCATTACCGTATTGGCCCGAATATAAGACGACCCTGATTATAAGACGACCCCCCCTTTTTCCAGATGTACCTTTTGGAAAAAGGCTTTTTAAAAAACAAATATTGTTTTTTCTCAGTAAAACACATTTTGCCTTCAATTATTTTCATATTGCATATTTTTCCTATTTTAATTTTTGTTTTGAAAGTACGGTAAAAACTGGTCAAATGTACCAACAATCACATTTAAAAAATATACACTTTTTGATATACCATTAAAAAAAATAATAATTATTGAATTAGGACATTTAGGCTATCCATCTAATAGTAGCCTACCAAAATGTTATTAACAGTAGAAGTTAAATCTTACTGTAGTCTTCAAATCTGGGTACTGTCTTATGTTTTAAAATCACAAAGGGAGTTTGGTCCCATCAGGCTAACGTGACAGTCATGACTCATGCAGCTGTAAGGTTTTCTTTTTCTTTTGTTTTTACTCGCGATCTTTACAACACGCATTACATTACGTATTTCATGGCACACTCGTTTTATGCGTATTTGGCGCCACCTATTGTTGTGGGTGTATTATTGACATGTCAAAGTCTAGACCCTGAATATAAGACGACCGCGTTTTTTCAGATGTATTTCCAAGAAAAAAACATTGTCTTATATTCGGGTCAATACGGTACTTCTTTGTTGGGAATGGGTGGTTTAAATGTGACTTAAGTGTCCAAATACTTATTGGGGTCACTGTATTGGATCCAATCTCAGCTATAAATCAGGAAAGACATCCATTGTTTTCAAACTTCGCACTTAAGGCATGTTTAAAGACTTATTACTAATTACAGAGAGTAACAACCCTACAGATTCAGCCCGTAATGTGAACTTTACTTTGGGGGGGGGGGGGGGGGG